CCAGCTCGAAAAGCGGATCCCCAAGACAACCTTCATCACGGCCCCCTTTCAGGAGGGATTGGCCGGGGATCCGCTTTTCGAGCTGGATTCCAGCTCGAAAAGCGGATCCCCAAGACAACCTTCATCACGGCCTCCTTTTCAAAAGGGATTGGCCGGGGATCCGCTTTTCGAGCTGGAAAGCCGGATTCCAGCTCGAAAAGCGGATCCCCAAGACAACCTTCATCACGGCCCCCTGTCAGGAGGGATTGGCCGGGGAAGCGCTTTTCGAGCTGGAATGCCGGAAGCGGATCCCCAAGACAACCTTCATCACGGCCCCCTTTTCAGGAGGGACTGGCCGGGGATCCGCTTTTCGAGCTGGAGTGCCGGATTCCAGCTCGAAAAGCGGATCTGCAAGACAACCTTCATCACGGCCCCCTTTTCAGGAGGATTGGCCGGGGATCCGCTTTTCGAGCTGGAATGCCGGATTCCAGCTCGAAAAGCGGATCCCCAAGACAACCTTCATCACGGCCCCCTTTCAGGAGGGGTCCGCTTTTTCCGCAGAGACTGTGCTTTGTTTTTCCGCACATTTGGTTGTTTTTTTCCGCTCTGCGGGGTTCGCATGTTTTCCGCGCGCAGCGCCGAGCCTCGTTTTAAGACACAATTGGGGCTAAGCAACAAGCTCGTTGTTTGTCCAAGCCAGGAAGTGAGTCAAAAAAAATGCTGTAAACAAAAGGGCTGCCCTTTTCCCCTCGAAATCCGCATTTTTGAGTTGCAAATCGCGCTAGGCGTAGTGGCCTTTGACAAGGAGTACTTCTTCTCGAGTGACACCATCTTTGACGCCGCAGGTGAGGGCTGAGGTTCACACATTGATGCATTTGGGAGCATGTGGCTCGAAAGCAACACAGGCGGGGCTGAAAATTGATCAAATTGGGGACCGAAATTCCTTGAAGAGAAGCGGCTCCCAGCTTGCACCAAAGGACCAACATGTGGCCATGGGTCAAAATCCCATACCCCCAGTGAACATCCGATTCAATGCAACCACTAAAATAGGTTCTAAAATGGGTGGTGCACCTACCCAAAATGGGATCCCCTTGGTTTTGACCCACCGCCATGTGTAGCCGCTTAGAAGCCATCTGGGTGTGAAACAACTGGGGCAAACCGCAGGTTTTGGTCCATGTTTCCACTGGGCAAGCCATGTTGGAATTCCGGTTTGTTGAGCAGCCATTTGTTCGAACCCTCAGGGAACGGGTCGTCCACTGCTCGCACCCTTCGCGCGTTTTGACGAAAGCCAGGCAAGACCAGCTTCGGAGAACCGTCCCAGGCAAGCGTCGACGGAGAACACCGAATGGGCGTGTCTCACAATGGGCTCTATACATGGTTGTTGTTGGGACACATTTTACCTCTTTGCTTATTGTGGTTTCGTGGGAAATCCGCACTCAACTGCTAAAATGTGAGAATTTTTGCTCCCCTTCCAACGTCAACCAAGTATATGGTTGGTTTCCTTTGAGTTGGCCTTTACCAAGAAGAACTTCCCAAATGTACCCACCAAAATTCTGATTCGCTGCATCTCCGGCAGTTTTCTTTGGCCATGGCCTTCAAGACCGATGAAAAGTCCTCTTGTGGGATCAATCCAGAGATCAGATTCGAGGCTGAGGCTGGGAAGAAAATGCTGGTGAGCTGCCAGGTGTTCAACTAAACTTCAAGGATGCCAGAAGCGGGTGTTTCTTTTTTTAGGGGCCCCCAAATGGCGGTTGTCCTTTGCTTTTCCTTCAAAACCAGCCAAGATGGGGTTCCCTTAAAGACTGAAAACAGATGCCCACATTGATGGTTAAACACGAGTGGTACTCAGCTGACCCTATGAGGACTTTGGGACACCTTTGGTATACTTTCCTTCGAGCCACGTGAAGGGGCTCGAGTTTCATTCTGTCGCCAATGAGAGTCATGTGAATTGGATAGTGGTTGCGGCATCATTTCTGCCTATAGCGAGCTTACCTGGGGGTATAGCGAGATAATGGTCCTTTACTTGCGGATCCCTTAATTCACAGCTTTTGGAATTATAGTAAAATGTTCAGATCATGTTTGAATTGCTTGTTTCTGACGGACAGATGATGTTGGGCAGCAACTTACCACTTCCTAATACCATGCGTACCTCAGCATTGACTTCCCGGTGATTGGCCGAAGTCGAGGTGAGATCCTTGGGCTACACGTTCTGGAACCAGGATGAGTTGCACGATTTCATCGTGACGGAATTGAAGCCGCTCCTTGGCGAGGTTTCGATCGGAGGTCTTTGAAACAGCATTTCGTGGGGTGTCTTTGCGGCTTGTGCAGTGGACGGACCGCGTTTCTAGTGCGTGGGGTGCCTGTTAATTTTACTAGCGAATGTGTCCCAGTCGTTTATTGTCTGACTCTTCAAGCAGTAATATTGACTGCTATTGGGTTGGATCTTTAGACTTTAACTTTTTGGGAAATCAAGGATTTGATTTTCCACTATATAAACCCCCAAAAAGGGGAAGACGTTTTGCAGGGGGGGTCAACAGCAAACAAGATGAATGGCTTCCTTGAGACCCTTGATGAAAATCAGATACGCCCAAGACTATTGCATTTGGGGGCAAAGGGCTTGAGACGCACAGCTTATTGCCACCACTCCTTCCAGTTTTCCCTTGGGGTCGCAAGCGCCCGAGGTTTCTCTGCCGAGTTTCTCTGGCGACGGCTCAGAAGAATGTGCCAAGATTTGGAACCAAAGACCACATTTCCTCGTAAATTCGGCTCCGGGCTCCCGTCTCAGGATTTTCCACAGGGACACCTACGACGTGATCTGCAACAATTGCAACCACTTCAGCGACCGGGTCTGCATGCGGGAGGCTTAGCTGGCCGCAGTGCCACGGTTTCTTGAGATCGACCGTTCTTTGCTAGGTCCCCCAGTACTGCCCTGCTCTCCCCTTTTTTTGGGGAGGGTTTCCTTACTAAAATAGACTAGAGAAAAAAGGGTACCTTTATTCTGGAGGACCTAGTTTGCTTGCAGATGGGGTGGGGGCAGGATGTTGGTTCTGCTTTTGGGGTTTGTCAAAGTCAGAAACTGGTTGGGTAGTTTTCCTTCCACCTACTTTGTTTTTTGTGACTTTGATAGTGGTGAATTAGTGGGGCCAGATGGAAGAACTTGTGTCCTTAGGGCTACGTTATGTGCCAATGTGAACCGACCACCATTTTACCTTGGGGGTACTAGGGATGGTCATGGACCCCAGTAGGGATTTAGACAGCCATCGTACAGGATTCCTATGAGTGGCCCCCGCATCAACTCCTTCAATCCAAGCCTACGAACTCGAGCACCATGTTGAGTACCATTCCTCACCAGCTTTTCATGCGAGCCACGTAGGCCTACTGCCCTGTCAGCAACTTGTATTGAAGCGACGGCCACTTTCTGCCGATTTCCGCGTACGCCCCGCCACTTCCGCCTGTTGTCCGCCGAGTTCAGCATATTGCGTGTGGCTGAATTTGTGGGATTTTGTCGCGGATCCATCGATTGCAATAATTGCGGGCAAATTCCAAGATGAACCTTGTTTGGGGTTGTGGCGCATTCCTGCACCATGTCATGGAAACCTACATGTCCCACTCCTTGGAAGCTGCCCGCATGAAGGCCCTTCGAGAAAGGCAGCGCTCGCTGCGGAACATGCAATTGGCTCATATGGCCGCGCAGGTTTCGGAAGTTCCGCATCCAATGCTCAACGGTCAAAGAGCATTCTAGTTCAGATGCTGGTGCCTGTCCCCTTTGTTTTCCTTCGTCATCACCCGAAAAAGTGTAGCTCCCCGAAACAAACAAACGCACACACACACACACACGCACATGTATCAAGCTGGTAGCGGATCACACTGGTGGAGACTTGGTTGCCGGCTGTTTGTCTCACGTGCTGTGTCATTGTTTCATATCCTGTCGGAAGAGTTGACTACCTCGAGCTGCATCCCCAGAAAACTGCTCGAGTTCTCATATGAACATATGTTTCCTTCAGACATGCATTGACAGCCAGTAGTTGTGCTCTGGAAGAAAGTGTTGGATGCATTCCGTTGCGTTTGTGTCCTCATGACACCTACGGGTCATCTATGTGAGGCACTGTAATACTCAGTGTTATCTAATCATGCAATTCACTGATGGGGTTGGGTTGCTCATCAAAATCCCATATCACTTACAGAGCGGTGTGGCTGACCTGCATCATTGCTTCAGCCAAGACTTGTTCTATGCCAACGTGCCCATCACGTGATGAGTGTGTGCACGCCCCTTTTTTGCAACGACCTTGTCTTGCAAAAGTATAGCCAAATAGGAGTTATAGTCATAACCCATACTCTCCTGAAAATTGTGATTGGACCCCTGGCGCCTTGATGTTAAAGACATCTCCTTTTCCAGGCACCCTTTTTGGAGTTCAGCGTAGATTTGCGGGGGCGATTCCGCTATTGCGAAGTGCGAAGTGGCCACCACATGAAAGTTTAGGCGTTCAACTTCTTGATATTGCCCCATCGCTTCTCTTGTTCACCTTACCTGGAAGATGGACCACACACATGAATCAATCAGAGCCAAGCCCGCCATCCATCCTCCAAGCCTCCAAGGCTAAGGAAGCTTTCAGCTGCTCAGAGGTGCGCATGTCTTGAAGGAACCGGCAGAAATGAAAGTCGGGTGTTCGACTCTCTCAGCTCCCATTCGACTCCTGAGGTACTTGACAGGTCGCCATCTGCCCGAGGACATCCGGCAGCAGACGGATCGGCTCATGGACTTAGTGCGCCGCTTAGTGCCGAAGCTGGTTTTCCCTGCAGAGGCACGTAGGGCCCCGACCATCCCCAGATTTTCCTTGGCTTGTTTCTATCCATGGTTTCCCTCAGGAAAAGACCCCAGCAACATCGGCTTTGAACACCGGGCCGGCTGAAACCGCAGGGGTCAAAACTCACTTCCTGAGTTCATGAACTTTAAACTTTTGGTGAAAACCATTTTAGTGGTAAGTATAAAGTTTGGACTTTTTTTTGGGCCATCCACTCAGCCAGTTAGAAAATTGAACCACCAGTGGACCACGGGTTTCCATTTGCCAGGGTTCCATTCAGGGTACCTAGTTGACCCACACCCATTCCACCAGGCCTCACGCCAAGCGCAACAACCGCGCCGAGGTCACCGTGCGCGCGGTGCGGCCCTTCCTGAACTGGCCCGGGGCCCCGGGAGTCGAGTCGTGCGTCAAACACCGAAGGGTAGCAATGTGGGTGCTGCTCAAAATGAAACAGGCCCTTGATCCTTTGTCGAGGCTATGAGTTATGAGTCCAAACCAGGGACTCCGCCCTATTTGGTGCGTGTCATGATGGTGTCCAATCGAAATGAAGAAATTGGTATGGGTCAAGATTAAGCCACCAGGGGACCCCCTGTTTTGGTCATGGGTTCCATTTTACCAGGGTTCAATTTTGGGTACCCATTTTTGACCCACAGCCATGTAATGCCGACAGATCCACAAGGCCATCGGCCTTGGGCCAGCATCAACGGCGAATGCACAAAAAAAGCAGCTCGGCACACCCCCAAAAAACGATAGCGGTAATTTCCTTTGTGTTCCTCAACACCAACCCGAAGCAGATACCCTCAGAAAGCACCTGGTTCAGCCACTTTCCTTCGTGAAGGCTGCTGCGAGACTGCGTGGTGTCTCGTGATGGCACTGCCAGGCGGGAATTCATTCCGTGCCGTCCCAATCTTCATCTCAAGTAATAAATGTCCCATGAATGGCCCTACAATGACACACTTGCAATTTTTGAACGCTTTGCCATGTTGCCGTCATATTTGATTGTGTGTCCGTATGTTTGTTCGCCTGTTTGCCCATGAATCAATCTTTCTGTGTTGGTTTGTTAGTTTGCCGGGCGCTAAATAGCAAATATGGTGTCATTCCGAGTCATTCCCCTGCAAGAAAACAACAAGGGGATGGACAATTGTTTGATGTTGCCAAACCTCCAATGTGGCACAAGTGTTGTTTGTGTGGTGTGTTTGTTTGTGTGTTGTTTTGTGTTGTGTTGCTTTGTTTTGTTTTTCTGTGTGTTTGATTTGTTTGGTGTTTGTTTGTTTTGTTTACTTTGGCTGCCTTGTCTGTTTTGCCTTTTTCATGTGTATGTTGTTTGTTTCTTTGTTTGTGTGTTTGTTTGCTTGCTTGCTTGTGTGTGTGCTTGTTGGTTTGTGTGCTTGTTGGTTTGTTTGCTTGTTTGTTTGCTTGCTTGTTTGTTTGTTTGTTTGCTTGCTTGTTTGTTCGTTTGTTTGTGTGTGGGTGTTTTTGCTTGCTTGCTTGTGTGTTTGATTGGTTGGTTGTTTGCTTCCTTGATTGATTCATGGATTCATTGATTCATTGATTGATTCATTCATTGATTGATTCATTCATTGATTGACTGACAGACTGACTGGATGTTTGATTGGTTGGTTGGTTTGCTTCTTGCTTGCTTGCTTGCCTGCCTGCCTGCCTGCTTGCAGGCTTGTTTGTTTGTTTGTCTTTGTTTGTTGTTTCTCTCTTTACTGCTTTCTTTATTTGATTCCAGGTGAAGAGCTTGTTGCAATCAGCGCAGGCGGGAGGTTTTGTATCTTGTTCAGCCGTGAAGTAGGGGAAGCTGATGGCACATGCCTCGCCTCGCACTGGCAGGCCAGTGGAGGCTTCACATGGAAGGTGGCACCGCGTCACCACTGCGGAGGAGGCACGACTCAGCGCAAAAAACGATGAACTCCTTGGGTTCTCGCCTCGCACTCTGATTTTTTGTTGGGTCCTGAAAAAAGTAAAAGGAATGAGACGGTCTGTTTATACTTTACAGCCTCCGGCTCAGTCCGCCGACATTGTCCTCCCCCTTTTCTCCTTCTTCCTCTCTCCCTTGTCTTTTTCGTGTGTTCTGTCGTCCTCTGTCCCTCCCTCTGCTCCCCATCCTCCCCATTCCCCCCAAGCCTCTCTCTCCTGAGTCTCCCTCTCTCTGTCTCTCTCTGTCTCTCTCTCTCTATCTCTCTCTCTCTCTCTGTCCGTCTCTCTCTCTCTCTCTCTCTCTCTCTCTGTTTCTCTGTCTCTTTCTGTCTGCCTGTCTCCTTCCTGTCCACGCCCCTCTACAGAAAAAGGGTACCCTAATTCTTCCCTCTCTACTGGAGGACCTAGTCTCTCTCTCTCTCTCTCTCTCTCTCTCTCTCTCGCTCTCTCTCTCTGTCTGTCTCTTTCTCTGTCTCTTTCTCTGACTCTGGCTCTGTCTCTGTCTCGCTCTGTCTGTCTTTCTCGCTCTCTGTGTCTCTCTTTCTCTCTCCCTGTCTCTCTCTCTCTCTCTGCGTTGCAGCGTCACGTCCCCCCTGAGTTGCCTCGATATCCCGGCACTGCCCCTTCATGACCCTGAACCGTCATCTCACTACTGGATTTCCACGTTTCCCGTGATGTCCAGGTCATGTCCCTGCCGATCCTTTCAATTTTCTCGGTATGCCCGTGTCATTTTCCATGTATGTCCCGTTCTTTCGTTGCGAGTCATTTCCCTACATCTCCAGTCGTGCCGATTGGTTTTATTGCGCTTTGTTTCCCTGTCATTCCCCCTGCACTCGTTTTCATTTCTGTCACTCTCACGTCCCTTTCAGTTCCCCTTTGTTTTCCTTTCATTTCCCTTTCCTGACATGTGGACTTCCTATTTCCTCCCCTATTTCCTTGCACTTCCTTGCAGTTCCCCTTGGCTCCCCAGTATTTCCCACAAAATCACGGTTTTTCCAGCGTTTTCGCGAAGAGGACATCCAAAAACACAGCGTTTTTTCCAGATTTTCTGCAAAAGCAAGCAGGAAACCCAAACCAGCAAAAAGCCAGCAGGGGGAATCGAGCCTGGGACCCCTGTTTTGCGACACCGCTCCCCGAAGACTACGTTTAGTGGAACGTCATCAAATCACCGCGCGGTACGTGGGGGGGGAGACGAAACCCTGCATAATTGACGTGTCTTGGGGGGGGACTAAGGGGGGGGGTTATCCTCTATCCTCTCTTAGGTATCCGACACGCCGAACAATGTCGGCGGATATGTTTTTTTGGTGGTGGCACTCTTATATATTAATGGCTTTTCCACGGTCAAAGTGTGCATTAGGGGGCGCGGGAGGTTTAGTTGCGTTCTGTCCGGGTGGGCGACCATTTCTTTGGGGGAGCAGTCGGTAGTGGACTCTTGGCTTTCCTGTTCCAGGAACAAATCCACCGTTGGCCAAGTTGACAAGGGAAGGACGCGGCTTGTTTTTTTTCCTTCCTTTTTTTCGACTAGGTCAGGGGTGCGTCAAGAGCAATTTTGTCCAAGTTGTTGTGTCCTACACACGCAGAGCATGCTGCAACATACTAGTACCACATCAATCCAAAAAATAGACAGGGTATATAGCATTCGTCCAAAATCAGGGAAGCAAAGTCAACCTGTCGCATTTGACCAAACGTTGCCACAAGAAACTTTGCAGACAAAAGGCTCTTTCGCTGGTACGGTGTAGTTGAACAAGTTTTTAATAGAATCCAGTTGGTTTTTTGTCACTCGTGTTGCTTTCATATCGAGCCTTCACGCAGCAACGTGTAGAATCGAAGATGGGTCTTCCGCCCACAAAGGCTCGACGCATGGCGAGAGGGTCTACGGCAATCTGGAAGTATAAGGACCTCACACGGCCGAATTCACCCCAAAATGCGAACCACCTTAATTTCAGGCTGGTGAAATACTATGGTTCATTCAGGGCAATGGGCACCCAGAATTGAGCTTGCATGAACATGGACGTATCCTATTGCAGAAGGGGTGGATCCTTCATTTTTTGGGGCGGGTCCAGACCAGAAGCACCCAGCAACGCGTGCGTTCTGGGACCCGAGCTTGACGCTTCAGTGGTTAAACCGGCTTGACCTGGAGTCCGACCGTGGAATCATTTGAGGTCATCAACTGAGAGTTCCCGCTCAAAAATGCAGGCAATGCGCGTAGCAGGTGATGGTACCCGGATCCTTTTGGATTCTGTCATGCCAATGTATGTTTATGTACTCTTTGAGGCTCACCGAAAGAGGATCGTATGTTTGAAGAGAAGCTTGAACATATGACTCTGGCGGTGTGTTTCGGAATGATAAGCACTGTCATCACTGTCACTCGGCTACACCTTGAGCAGTGTTGCCTTCGCTCCGAAGGATAACATACTCATGTCGTTTAAGGGTACTCTGCTTGGACGGTTTTCAACGTAAGGGGAAACAAACAATTTTGGGAGCCGCCCCCGTGTGGAGACAAGGTCTTAGTTCTTCTTGTTGCTACCGCTTTCAAAGCTTCCACAACTGAAAGGAATTTCCGAGTGGCTTGCTCCGGGCTCAAGCACTTCAGGTTGATGAAACTAGACGACTGGTTTCACTTTGGTAAGTAGATGTCACCATTCCCTTTGCGGGAAGTGACTAAACTAGAATGAGTTGGGATTGTGGCATCTACGAACTCACCCAACTAGCGCTTGCAGTGTTTGCAACAGGGGCCAAAAGCGCTTGACCTTCATTGCCTTCTTCGCAAACAGGTAGGTACGACTCTGACGTCAGCACTACGTATTTGGATGGGCTCGCTCCACTCCAGTATGGCAGCAATATTCAGAATGTGTTTTTCTCTGTCTTTCTCTGTCTTTCTCTTTCTTTTGTTGTCTTTCATTGTATTTATTTCTCTTTATTTGTCTTTCTTTGTCTTTCTTTGTCTTTCTCTTTCTTTCCCTTTCTTTCCCTTTCTCGCCCTTTCTTCCCTTTCTTTGCCTTTCTTTGCCTTTCTTTCCCTTTCTTTCCCTTTCTTTCCCTTTCTTTCCCTTTCTTTCCCTTTCTTTCCCTTTCTTTCCCTTTCTTTCCCTTTCTTTCCCTCTTTCTTTCCCTCTTTCTTTCTTTCCCTCTTTCTTTCTTTCCCTCTTTCTTTCTTTCCCTCTTTCTTTCTTTCTTTCTTTCTTTCTTTCTTTCTTTCTTTCTTTCTTTCCCTCTTTCTTTCTTTCCCTCGTTCTTTCTCTCCCTCTTTCTTTCTTTCCCTTTTTCTTTCTTTCGCTCTTTCTTTCTTTCCCTCTTTCTTTCTCTCCCTCTTTCTTTCTTTCCCTCTTTCTTTCTTTCCCTCTTTCTTTCTTTCCCTCTTTCTTTCTTTCTTTCCCTGTTTCTCTCCCTTTTTCTCTTCCTTTTTATCTCCCTTTTTCTGCCTTTCTTTGTCTGTCTCTCTCTCTCTCTCTCGCGCTTTTTTGTCAGTTTGCCCGAGTCGTCCAAAGGGCTAGCCTCCAGTTCCACAGGCGTCAGCGGAATCTTTTCGCTGTCAGTTGCAAAGAAGTGTGGAATGTGAAGGTGCGGCTGAAGGTGAAACAGCAGGTCTGGTACTGTACGAGTCTGAGCGTGCTTATTTAACTTAAAACTGCACCCTCTCTACTTGCACAGGATCACTTCTACAGTGACTCCTCCGCTCACACTCAGTCATCAAACGTGGTTACTTGCTTCTGATGATGTCAGAGGCTTCTGCTGCGAAAGAGCTTGCCTCACAGGTATGATGATGATTGTGACAACAAGCTACTTCGTTCTTACATTGCGGTTGTCATTTATGTACGCTCACTTCGATTTGGTTTGACTGAACGCCACGTGACCAAAATGGAGATAGAATGAAAAACACAAGCACACGCGGTGTTTGGAGCTTGGGGTAGCCAATCCGTTTGCACAGTTGAGTGATGTTAAAAATATTTCTGCTTTATTGACTCTAATTTCAGGGCGGGCAAAATTCACCATGAAGTTCAGAAGAGTGATGGCCCCACGTGAACACACGTTATGGCTCAAGGGATCCCAGGGTATTCTGCTCAACTTTTTCAGTTACATCAGGTGTGGCCTTGGTCTTCTGAATCCTGTGCATCAGGACGATGTCAGATCTAGACGCAAAACGCGAAGGGCAGCCGGTGTTGGGCAGAAGATCCTCGGGTGTCAGTTCTCCATCGGCCGGCAGTGCCGGCACCGAGCTGCTCGTGGAGCAGGGTCGGCTTAGTGCGAGGGATGCACAACTCACTGTAGTCCACGCTTTGACTGACTACATTTCAACGATGAGAATTACACTGTACACGGCCTGCAGTTCTGCGGGCCACCTCTGCCTACCATGCGTTCGATTCGTGGGCGGCACCTCTGAGAGGCAGTGAAGGGAGAGACTTTTTTGCAAAGAGCCGACAGGTGCGCAAGATCCAAGAATTCTGGAGCCATTCTTGGCATTCGAGCACCTGGGCGAAGTGTTTGACGCTTTTGGTGCTGAACAACGGCGCAGCAGCGATTTGTGTGGGTAACGTGTGTGCCTTGCTTGGCATTGTGCTCTTTTATCTTCACGTCCTGCCAGGCTTCGACCGGCATTTGGAAGATGGTCAGGGAAATTCTTCCGTATGGGCATCAGTGCTAGGTGCCGCTGGCACCGCTTTGACATTGGCATGCTGGCGATCTAGGAAGGAAGTGTTCCTGGACAGGATTTGCATTAGCCAGGCGGATGACTTGAAGACAGAGGCCATTTGCAGCCTTGCCGGGATTCTGAGCAAGTCAGAATCCATGCTGGTGCTTTGGGATGCTTCTTTTGCGGGCCATGATACGGAAGGCGTCCTCGTCGACATGGCGGGACCACAGGTTTCTTTCCCACCTGTGGTAGCGAACTTTCCTGATTTCATTTTCACAGTTGCCGGGGTTTTGTTTGCAACTTGTGAGTGGTTCCGGGTGCGCACTTCTGTGCCG